AGCACGCGTGCTGCCCTGGGTTCCATCACCCAGAACCAGAGGAAAAAGTAAGACTGACCAGGCACTGTGACACACCTGTAAACCCAGCGTTCTGGGGCAAGAGGACTGTGAATCTAAGGTCAGTTTGGGCTACACAGCGAGACCCAGGCACAGACAGAATGCAGGCTGTTTCTTAGCTTGGAATGGCAAGAGATTGCCTTCTTTCTTTTTCTCTGTCTGGCTGCACTCAGCATGGAGCCGGGCCTGGCCTTGAACCCCTGATCCTCCAGCCTGTGCTCCAAGCGATGGGATTACTGGTGTGTGCCATCACACTCGGCGAAGAAGATTCTCTTTGGCTTATGTGGCAATATGAGGGTTCTTTGTGACGTACCTGAGTGTAGTTTCTGGCTTCTAGAACTTGCATATATTCAACTTTACAAGTCAATGCCAAAATGTTCCTGTCAGAGCTCTCAAACATTCTTTTCCCTTATAGTACACTTGCCCCCACTTACGCTGCTATGAGTGGGTTTCTATTGCTCCCAACCAAAATGAATTTTAACCCATCTGAGCCATCAAGAATGACTATGGGATGACAGCCGACTCTGTGATCTTGCTCCCGAGAGATCCCTACCCCAACAGCCATCACCTGCTGCAGTTTCAAAACTCACATGGAAACTTGTCACACCAACAACATTGAAAGGTGGGGCCTGTAAGAGGTGACTACGTCACGAGCCTGTCACCGTCACCAATGGGTGAAGCTGCCTGAGTGGGAGTGAATTAGCTCTCACAGGCGCAGAGGCTGGAGAGCCCCTCCCTTCTCGAACACAGACGCCCTCTGCTGTGGCTGCACAGTAAGAAGACACCAAGATCAAGCTTGGTAGCTTACTCCTGTAAACTCAGCACTTGCAGGCAGAGTCAGGAGGATCAGGAACAGCTCCAGCTACACGGTGAAGCCAGTCTGGGCTGTATGAGATCCTGCCTCAAAAATGAAAATGAGAACCAGGGCAATGGCTCAGTGGGTAATATGTTCCTTGCACGAATTTGAGGGCTCCAGTTTATTTATTTATTTAGATTTTTTGAGACAGGGTTTCTCTGTGCAGCCCTGTAACTTGCTCTGTAGAAGAGACTGGCCTCGAACTCACAGAGATCTACCTTGCCTCTCGAGTGCTGGTATAAAGGGCATATGCCACCACTACTTAGCGAGGGCTCAAGTTTAAAGCTAGGTGGCCAAGGTGCCCTGTGACCTCAGTGCTGGGGGCAGGAGGGAGAGGTGGACACAGGCAGATTCCTGCAGATCACTGACTGGCCATCGAGCTGGTGGTGAGCTCCAGGTTCAGTGAGGGACTGGTTCTCAAAAAATAAGGTGGAGAGTGACAGAGGAAGACAATTCACAGCGTGGGCAAGCAGGCACACACACACAACACACACACACACACACACACACACACACACACACACAAGCACATGAACACATACACACACAGGTACACACACACATGAACACATATACACACAGGCACACACACACGCACACACACACACAGTCCTCCTGCCTCTGCTTCTGAGAAGCTTGGATGACAGTTCTGCACCACCAGGTCCATTTTTTGGTGTGGTGTGGTTTGGTTTGGTTGGATTGGGTTGGGTTGACACTGGGGATTAAACCCGGGTCTACTGCAGGCTAGGCAGACACTATGCTATACTGTTGACTCACAACTCTAGACCACATTTTATTTTTGCTACTCTGTGTGTGTGTGTGTGTGTGTGTGTGTGTGTGTCCGTCTGTCTGTCTGGCACTCCTGTACTATGAGACAGGACAGCAAAAGCAGCACACATTTCCTTTTTCTTCCTTAGCAGATCTCAGCCTCCTCAGTCAAGGACACTTTTCTTCTCTTCCTCTTGAGTTCTTTCTCCTTTTCACAGGAAGGGAGCCGTTCGGGCTTCTCTTTCTCTTCTATGTCGCCAGCGCAGATCCAGTAGGCAGGGCTGCCTGGCCACAGGGAAGATCAGGGCCCCAGGCAGGACAATGAAAGGATTCATCCTGATTCTCAGAAAGTTGTATAAATCAAACTGGTTAATTGGAATGGGATGCAGCTCACAGGCAACTCAGCACACTCCAGGCCCTGGTTCCATCCTTAGGGCAGAGAGAAAAACAATAAAACTTGGATGAAAATGGGGTAAAGTCACTCAGTGATAGATCACCTGCCTAGAATCCCCCAGTGAGGGGCTGGGGGCGTGG